TGTGTCGATGTCCTCCATGTGTCGACTCCCTCCATGTGTCGACGCCCTCTATGTGTCAACGTCCTCCATGTGTCGACCTCTCTCCATGTGTCGACGCCCTCTATGTGTCAACGTCCTCCATGTGTCGACGCCCTCCATGTGTCGACGTCCTCCATGTGTCGACGCCCTCCATGTTTCGACGCTCTTCATGTGTCGACGCCCTCCATATGTCGACACCTCTCCATGTGTCGACGTCATCCATGTGTCGACGTCCTCTATGTGTCGACCCCCTCCATGTGCCGACGCCCTCCATATGTCGACACCCTCCATGTGTCGACACCCTCCATGTGTCGACGCCCTCCATGTGTCGACACCTCTCCATGTGTCGAAACCCTCTATGTGTCGACGTCCTCCATGTGTCGACGCCCCCCATGTGTCGACGTCCTCCATGTGTCGACGCCCTCCATGTTTCGACGCTCTCCATGTGTCGACGCCCTCCATATGTCGACCTCCTCCATGTGTCGACGTCCTCCATGTGTTGACGCTCTCCATGTGTCGACGTCCTCCATGTGTCGACGCCCTCCATGGATCCACACCTACCATGCGTCGACGCTCTCTATGTGTCGACATCCCTCCATATGTCGACGCGCACCATGTGCCGACACCCCTCCATGTGTCGACGCCCTCAATGTGTCAATGTCCTCCATGTGTCGACGTCCTGAATGTGTCGATACCCTCCATGTGTCTATGCCTTCCATATGTCGACACCCTCCATGTGTCGACGCCCTCCATGTGTCGACGCCCTCTATGTGTCGACGCCCTCCATTGGTCGACGCCCTCCATGTGTCGACACCCTCCATGTGTCGACGCCCTCCATCATGTGTCGACACCCTCTATGTGTCGACACCCTCCATGTGTCGACGCCCTCCATGTGTCGACACCTCTCCATGTGTCGACGCCCTCCATGTGTCGACACCCTCCATGTGTCGACACCCTCCATGTGTCGACGCCCTCCATGTGTCGACGCCCTCCATGTGTCGACACCTTCCATGTGTCGACACCCACCATGTGTCGACGCCCTTCATGTGTCGACACCCTCTATGTGTCGACACCCCCATCCATGTGTCGACGCCCTCCATGTGTCGACACCTCTCCATGTGTCGACGCCCTTTATGTGTCAACATCCTCCATGTGTCGACGCCCTCCATGTTTCGACGCTCCCCATGTGAAGACGCCATCCATATGTCGAGGTCCTCCATGTGTCGACGTTCTGTATGTGTCGACGTCCTCTACGTGTCGACGCCCTACATGTGTCGACGCCATCCATGTGTCGACACCATCCATGTGTCGAGCCCTCCATATGTCGACACCTTCCATGTGTCGACGCTCTCAATGTGTCGACATTCCTCCATATGTCGACGCTCTCCATGTGTCAACATCCTCCATGTGTCGACGCTCACCATGTATCGACACCCCTCCATGTTTCAAACGCCCTCTATGTGTCGACGTCCTGAACGTGTCGATACCCTCCATGTTTCGATGCCCTCCATGTGTCGACGCCCTCCATGTGTCGACGACCTCCATGTGTCGATGCTCTCCATGTGTCGACACCATCCATGTGTCGACGTCCTCGAGGTGTTGATGTCCTCCATGTGTCGACGCTCTCCATGTGTCAACGCCCTCTATGTGTCGACTCTCTCCATGTGTCGACACCCTACATGTGTCGACGCCCTCCGTGTGTCAACGCCCTCAATGTGACGACGCCCTCCATGTGTCGACACCCTCCATGCGTCGACGCCCTCCATGTGTCGACACACCTACGTGTGTCGACGCCCTCAATGTGTCGACGTTCTCCATGTGTCCACGTCCTCTATGTGTCGACGCCCTCCATGTGTCGATGCCTTCCATATGCCGACGCCCTCCATGTGTCGACGCCCTCCATGTGTCGACACCCTCCATGCGTCGACACATGAAGGGCGTTGACACCCTCCATTTGTCGACACCCTCCATGTGTTGACGCTCTCCATGTGTCGACACCCCTCCATGTGTCGACGCCCTCTATGTGTCGACACCCTCCATGTGTCGACGCCCTCTATGTGTCGACACCCTCCATGTGTTGACGCTCTCCATGTGTCGACACCCCTCCATGTGTCGACGCCCTCTATGTGTCGACACCCTCCATGTGTCGACGCCCTCCATGTGTCGACGCCCTCTATGTGTCGACACCCTCCATGTTTCGACACCCTCCATGTGTCAACGCCCTCCATGTGTCGACGCCCTCCATGTGTCGACGCCCTCCATGTGTCGACGCCCTCTATGTGTCGACACCCTCCATGTTTCGACGCCCTCCATGTGTCGATACCCCTCCATGTGTCTACACCCTCCATGTGTCTACACCCTCCATGTGTCGACGCTCTTCATGTGTCGACGCTCTCCATGTGTCGACGCCCTCCATGTGTCTACGCGCTCTATGTGTCGACGTCCTCCATGTGTCGACGCCCTCTATGTGTTGATGCCCTCCATGTGTCGATACCCTCCATGTGTCGACACCATTCATGTGTCGACGTCCTCAATGTGTCGACGTCCTCTATGTGTCGACGCCCGCCATGTATCGTCACCCTACGTGTGTCGACGCCCTCTATGTGTCGACGCCCTCCATCTGTCGACACCCTCCATGTGTCGACGTCCTCCATGTGTCGACGCCATTCATGTGTCGACGGCCTCCTTGTGTCGTCGCCCTTCATGTGTCGACGCCCTCTACGTATCGACGCCCTCCTTGCGTCCACGCCCTCCTTGTGTCGACACCCTCCATGTGTCGACGCCCTCTATGTGTCAACGTCCTCCATGTTTCGACGCCCTCCATGTGTCGACGCCCTCCATGTTTCGACGCTCCCCATGTTAAGACGCCATCCATATGTCGAGGTCTTCCATGTGTCGACGTTCTCCATGTGTCGACGTCCTCTACGTGTCGACGCCCTACATGTGTCGACGCCCTCCATGTGTCGACACCATCCATGTGTCGAGCCCTCCATATGTCGACACCTTCCATGTGTCGACGCTCTCAATGTGCCGACATTCCTCCATATGTCGACGCTCTCCATGTGTCAACATCCTTCATGTGTCGACGCTCACCATGTGTCGACACCCCTCCATGTTTCAAACGCCCTCCATGTGTCGACGCCCTCCATGTGTCGACGCCCTCCATGTGTCGACGCCCTCCATGTGTCGACGACCTCTATGTGTCGATGCTCTCCATGTGTCGACACCATCCATGTGTCGACGTCCTCGAGGTGTTGATGTCCTCCATCTGTCGACGCTCTCCATCTGTCAACGCCCTCTAAGTGTCGACTCTCTCCATGTGTCGACACCCTACATGTGTCGACGCCGTCCGTGTGTTAACGCCCTCAATGTGTCGACACAATCCATGTGTCGACACCCTCCATGCGTCGACGCCCTCCATGTGTCGACACACCTACATGTGTCGACGCCCTCAATGTGTCGACGTTTTCCATGTGTCGACGTCCTCTATGTGTCGACGTCCTCCATGTGTCGACGCCCTCCATATGCCGACCCCCTCCATGTGTTGACGCCCTCCATGTGTCGACACCCTCCATGCGTCGACACATGAAGGGCGTTGACACCCTCCATGTGTCGACACCCTCCATGTGTTGACGCTCTCCATGTGTCGATACCCCTATATGTGTCGACACCCTCCATGTGCCGACCCTCTCCATGTGTCGACACCTCTCGATGTGTCCACGCCCTCTATGTGTCGACGTTCTCTATGTGTCGACACCCTCCATGTGTCGACGCCTTCTATGTGTAGACGTTCTCCATGTGTCAACGCACTCTATATTTCGACGCCCTCCATGTGTCGATGCCCTACATGTGTAGACACCTCTCCCTGTGTCGAACCCCTCTATATGTTGACGCCCTCTATGTGTCGACACCCTCCATGTGTCGACGCCCTACATGTGTCGACGCCCTCCATGTGTCAACGCCCTCCATGTGTCGACACTCCTCCATGTGTCGACGCCCTCTGTGTGTCGACACCCCACCATGTGTCGACGTCCTCCATGTGTCGACACCCTCCATGTCTCGACGCCCTCCATGTGTCGTCGCCGCTTCATGTGTCGACACCCTCCATGTGTCGACGATCCCATGTGTCGACGCCCTCCATGTGTCGACACCCTCCATGTGTCGACGCCCATGTGTCGACACCCTCCATGTGTCGTATGATACTGCGTAAGTTTTAAAGGGAAGAATAGAAGTAACTGCAAAGGGCCTATTAGCCCATATTTCTTGATGCTTCTATATTGGTGCGGAGTATTGAAGTGGGTGGAATATAGCTGTGCATTAATTGGCTGTTGATTGCTGGTGTTGACTTTTTGATGTGTAGTGCCTCGCAGATGTCAAGCCGCCTGCTATCGCTGTATCTGTCGATGATTTCTGTGTTTTTAGTTAAGAATTCTCTGGTGATGGTCTGGTTGTGGGAAGAGATTATTTGTTCCTTAGTGGACTTCTTAATGGACCCACTTCAAGACTCCGCACCAATATAGAAAAATCAAGAAATATGGGCCAATAGGCCCTTTGCAGTTACTTCCATTCTTTCCTTTAAAACTTACCCAATATCATACCCATTGTTTCGTGTTCTGTCATGTGTTTTCACCTCATCCAAAACTGTTGTAACATATCACCTCACCCAAATGCAGGGATATAAAATGAAAGCCATATAAATTATTGCACAGTAGGACTCTGTTTAGTGTTTACAGGTTATAGTTGTGTGTGTGTAAACTAAAGTCTTTGAAAATGTAATAAGTTATTACGAAACGCGTTCAAGTGTCGAGTCAGACTAGAAATAAAAATTAATTTTGGAGAATTGATTTTTCAATTATCATCGACAGTGAAAAGAAACATAAGAAATATTTAGAAAATTCGTGTTAGAATTATTAATCTTACTCTTTTGGTCATATTTAATAATATATGTTTACAAGAAAGACTGCTACCAAAATATACTGATATTAAAACGCCCGACCCAGCAGCAAGGAATCTAGCTTTCGCGATAAAATATCGCCAAGATCTGATTCGAAATCAGATACACAAAGCTGAAAATGAAATCAAAGACAACAAAATGCAACTACTTCATGCTACAAACCAATGGAGAAACAGCAACATCGACGAAAACTTCCGTACTCGTATCGAGCAACACCTCGACATCCTCACAGACCGACATCACCTCAGCACTGAAACAAGGATTATCAAGAAACTAACAACATTATATGGAGGACCTATGGCAATTCCACGACCAAGAGACGGCTTCCTGGACCTTGCTGGAATCAACCTCACTGAGGATGAAGTCACTCTCCTAAATCTGGGTATAAACTGTCACGTTATGTCCAGACCGAGTGAGATGGCCCGGAAAGTGGAGTTGGAAATCCTGTTGGACGACATATTCGACCACGAGACACAAAAAAAGGTCACCACCAAAGACACCTTACAAGCAGAACTTATTGCAGAAGGAGGAAAGAATCGAGGCAACTACAGAAGCACCATACTGTCCCCCGAGCTCAAAGCGGCAGCTAAGAGCCTTCGTGAGAACAAGGAGATGTGACAAGTTGCCAATATATGTCATTCTTAAAAAAGACGAATATCTGGCGAAAATAAACCTCATACTCTCTGACCAAACTAAATTCCAAAGGGTAATGAAGGACACTACAGCCGAATTGAAAGCAAAGGTCAACAAATATATCGAAACTGTGACCGCCAAGAAATCCAGACTCCACCTGCCAAAGATCATTGGGGAATACAAACCTGGATACGCGTATGGAAATGTCAAGACACACAAGCCTGGAAACCCACTTCGGCCAATCATCAGCCAGATACCCACACCCACGTACAGACAGGCGAAGCGACTCAACGGCTTGCTGACTCCTTTTGTTCCTTGAACCTTCAGCCTGAAGTCCCCAAAGGAATTTGTTGACTTACTGCGGAGAACACGGGCAACAGGGATAAGAGCCTCGTTGGACGTAGAATCGCTGTTTACCAATGTACCTGTGGATGAAACAATCGGGATGATAGCCGACAGAGTGTATCGTGATCCGGCCTGCACTCCTCTTGACATACCAGAAAACATTCTAAGGAAACTACTCCAAGCATGTATTAAAGAGGCACCCTTCTTGAGCCCGGATGGGCACATGTATAAGCAAGTAGATGGGGTCGCCATGGGTTCTCCCCTAGGTGTCCTGTTTGCAAACTTCTACATGGGTACCATCTAACAAAAGGTCTTAGTCAACATGAACTTATAACCGGCCATATGCTGCAGGTATGTTGACGACATTTTTACACAGGTACCTGATGTTAGACATCTGCAGGAGCTGAAGGAGGCATGTGAGCGGAATTCTGTGTTGCATTTTACTTACGAGATGGAGAAGGATGGGAAGCTGCCCTTTCTAGATGTAACAGTCATGGAAAGGAGCGGAGGTTTCCACACTGCAGTCTACACTAAGGAAACAAAAAGAGGAATGTGCCTCATTGCCAACAGTGACTGCCCAGACAGGTACAAGAGGAGTGTTGTTAACGCTTATGTCGACCGTGCTCTCAGCCACAACTCAAGATGGAAGCAAGTCGGTGAAGAACTCTGTAGGGTAAGGCAGGTCCTAGTCAACAACGGCTTCTCCAATGGTTTTGTTGAAGACATCATAAGAAGGAAGGTGGAACGCCATGCAACCTCTGAAGAGACAACTAACACAACACCTATACCCCCTATTAGACTATTTTACAGGAACTTCTTTTCCACAGCTCATAAAACGGAGGAAAGGGTCCTGAAAGATATTGTTAATAGGAACGTTATCCCTACAGATAAAAATCAGAAGATACAATTGACGATTTACAATAAAACCAAAAAAACGGCCAACCTACTCATGAGAAACTCCCCAGACACAAAGCAGAACGCTTTAAAAGAGACCAACGTCGTCTATGGCTTCAAATGCCCACCTGGGGACTGTAAGCCTCAAAGAACTCAGTATATAGGCAAGACAACAACATCTCTTTCCAGGCGATTAACGATGCATAAGCAACAGGGCTCCATTAAGAAACATATAATCTCTTCCCACAACCAGACCATCACCAGAGAAGTCTTAACAAACAACACATAAATAATCGATAGATACAGCGATAGCAGGCGGCTTGATACCTGCGAGGCACTACACATCAAAAAGTCAACACCAGCAATCAATAGTCAATTAATGCACGACTATATTCTACCCACTTCAAGACTTCGCACCAATATAGAAGCATCAAGAAATATGGGCCAATAAGCCCTTTTCAGTTACTTCCATTCTTCCCTTTAAAACGTACCCAATATCATACCCATTGTTTCGTGTTCTGTCTTGTGTTTTCACCTCATCCAAAACTGTTGTAACATATCACCTCACCCAAATGCAGGTATATAAAATGAAAGCCATTTAAATTATAGCATAGTAGGACTCTGTTTAGTGTTTGCAGGTTATAGTTGTGTGTGTGTAAACTAAAGTCTTTGAAAATGTAATAAGTTATTACGAAACGCGTTCAAGTGTCGCGTCAGATTAGAAATAAAAATTAATTTTGGAGAACTGATTTTTCAATTACCATCGACAATGAAAAGAAACATAAGAAATATTGAGAAAATTCGTGTTAGAATTATTAATATTAATATTACTTTTTCGTTCATATTTAATAATATATGTTTACAAGAAAGACTGCTACCAAAATATACTAATATATATATATATATATATATATATATATATATATATATATATATATATATATATATATATATATATATATATATATATATATATATATGTGTGTGTGTGTGTATATCACGAAAATAAACACGTGATTAAGAATGTGACAATGTCAGACCACGGAGGAAAAATGAAACAGGAATTTCCTTAAGTACTTTCGTATATTAAATACATCTTCAGAAGGTCAGATCTTCAGACCTTCTGAAGATGTATTTAATATACGAAAGTACTTAAGGAAATTCCTGTTTCATTTTTCCTCCGTGGTCTGACATTGTCATATATATATATATATATATATATATATATATATATATATATATATATATATATATATATATATATATATATATATATATATATATATATATATATATGTATGTATAATGTTAATAATATATTAAAGGAGAAAAAGAGGATGAACACTCACACTGGACGTTGAGGTTGAGAGCGTTGCTCTGGCCGTCACCCTCCTGGTTACTACCGAGGCAGGTGTACAAGCCACGCATGTCGGCCGTCACGTTGTGGAGGCGCAGGGTGGTGTTGGTCGCCTGCGGCCCCCACTCCGCCCGTCGCAGCGGTCGCCCCTGCACCCAGAGAGAGAAATATTCGTTTAACTTCTCAAAATTAGTGACCTCGGGCCAGATTTACGAAGTAGTTACGCAAGCCTTTACGAACCTGTCCATCTTTTCTCAAAATTGGCGGCTGTGTTTACAATTATTGAACAGTTAATGAGCTCCGAAGCACCAGGAGGCTGTTTATAACAGTAGCAAATGTTGATTGCGAAATTTTCAGGCTAGTAAATTGTTCAATATATGTAACCAAAGCCGTCAAAGATAGTCAAGATGTACACGTTCGTAACTATTTGCGTAAGGGCTTTGTGAATCCGGGTCCAGGTTTTGGGTTTTGCAAATATAATTTTAGTTTAACGTGTGTCGATGTGTGTAGCCAATTGGGTTGGAGTACGTGTAAGTGTTCTAATCGCTACATGTGCAAACATACATGCGCAAATATTTACAAGTTCAAAAACACACACACACACACACACACACACACACACACACACACACACACACACACACACACACACACACACACACACACACACACACACACACACACACACCAACCCCTGTCAGCCACCCTCATTAAGTACCCACCTAATGAACACTCCCCCCACTCACCCCCCTCCTCCCACTCACTCCTCCCCCCCACCCAGGATCTCCCTTCTCCCCCATCCCCCAAGCCCTCCCTTCTCCCACATGCCCTCCCGTCTCTCCCACCCACAATCCCTCCGTTCTCCCCTGCCCCCCTAAGCCCCTCCACCCCACCTAAGTCTTCCCCTCTCCACCACTCCCCAAACCCCCCCCCCCCCTCTTCCTCACCCACCTCAGCCTTCCCTTTACCCCCAAGGTTGTTGGGCCGGACGGAATCTCACCATGGGTATTGAAAGAGTGTGCAGGAGCACTTTGTTTGCCACTCTCCATTGTGTATAGTAGGTCACTGGAAACGGGAGACCTACCAGAAATATGGAAGACGGCTAATGTAGTCACAATATACAAAAAGGGTGACAGACACGAGGCACTGAACTACAGGCCAGTGTTCTTAACTTGTATACCATGCAAGTTGATGGAGAAGATCGTGAGAAAAAACCTAGTAACACATCTGGAGGGAAGGGACTTCGTGACAACCCATCAGCATGGGTTCAGGGAGGGTAAATCTTGCCTTACAGGCTTATTTGAATTCTACGATCAGGTGATAAAGATTAAGCAAGAAAGAGAAGGATGGGCGGACTGCATTTTTTTTTGACTGTCGGAAAGCTTTTGACGCAGTACCCCATAAAAGGCTGATGCATAAGTTGGAGAAACAGGCAGGAGTAACTGGTAGGGCGCTCCAGTGGATGAGGGAGTACCTAAGCAATAGGAAGCAGAGAGTTACAGTGAGGGGGTGAGACCTCAGATTGGCGTGAAGTCACCAGTGGAGTCCCACAGGGCTCTGTGCTTGGACCTATCCTGTTTCTGATATACGTAAATGATCTCCAGAGGGTATAGACTAATTCCTCACAATGTTTGCTGACGACGCCAAAATTATGAGAAGGATTAAGACAGAGGAGGACAGCTTGAGGCTTCAAGAAGAGTTGGACAAGCTGCAGGAATGGTCGAACAAATGATTGTTAGAGTTTAACCCAAGCAAATGTAATGTAATGAAGATAGGTGTAGGGAGCAGGAGACCAGATACATGGTATCATTTGGGAGATGAAATCCTGCAAGAGTCAGAGAGAGAGAAAGGCCTGGGGGTTGATATCACGCCAGACCTGTCCCCAGAAGCTCATATCAGGAGGATAACATCAGCGGCATATGCCAGTTTGGCTTATATAAGAACGGCCTTTAGAAATTTGTGTAAGGAATCTTTCAGAACATTATATACCACATATGTTAGACCAATCCTGGAGTATGCGGCTCCAGCATGGAGTCCATATCTAGTCAAGCATAAGACTAAACTTGAAAAGGTTGAAAGGTTTGCCACCAGACTAGTACCCGAACTGAAGGGTATGAGCTACGAGGAGAGACTACGGGAATTAAACCTCACGTCACTGGGAGACAGAAGAGTTAGAGGGGACATGATCACCGCATACAAGATTCTCAAAGGAATTGATTGGGTAGATAAAGACAGACTTTTTAACACAAGGGGCACACGCACTAGGGGACACAGGTGGAAATTTAGTGCCCAAATGAGCCATAGAGACGTTAAAAAGAATTTTTTCAGTGTCAGAGTAGTAGACAAATGGAATGCATTAGGAAGTGATGTGGTGGAGGCTGACTTCATACACAGCTTCAAGTGTAGATATGATAGAGCCCAATACGCTCAGGAACCTGTACACCTGTTGATCGACGGTTGAGAGGCGGGACCAAAGAGCCAGAGCTCAACCCCCGCAAGCACAATTAGGTAAGTACACACACACACACACCCCGTGTAGTGCCTTACTTATATAGTATACAAGGTTCCGAAGGATTCCTTACACAGGTTTCTGAAGGCAGTTCTGATGCCTTCAGAAACCTGGCTGGACTGATGCCTTCAGTTCAGGCTCGACTGATGCCTTCAGTTCAGGCTGGACTGATGCCTTCAGTTCAGGCTGGACTGATGCCTTCAGTTCAGGCTGGACTGATGCCTTCAGTTCAGGCTGGACTGATGCCTTCAGTTCAGGCTCGACTGATGCCTTCAGTTCAGGCTCGACTGATGCCTTCAGTTCAGGCTTGACTGATGCCTTCAGTTCAGGCTCGACTGATGCCTTCAGTTCAGGCTCGACTGATGCCTTCAGTTCAGGCTCGACTGATGCCTTCAGTTCAGGCTGAACTCGTATGCGAGTCCAGCCTCGCATACGCCGCCGATACGAACGCATTCGGGTGGGTTATGGGTTGTGATTTCGCTATGTGTAACCTGTAATGTCATTGTATTCTATAAATATTTCAGTGTTTCTGGTCATTATATCTTAGAGCTGGAGGTCAAGGGGTGGGAGAGGGCGAGTCAACATCCCTCACACTTGCCTAACAATAATCTGAAGTATTGAATGTTACAATGACATGAGTTATTGTTCATTATTCATTTGGCCAGATGGACATCGAAGGCTGAAGAGATTGGTGAACAAAAAATTGGCCAATTCATTTGTCTCATACTTTTTCGTGACGTCAGAAAGTTTAGTGATCCAAGATTTTAAGGTCCGGGTGACTGAAGCTTTCTGACATCATGAGGCATCATCAGACTACTGAACCACCCAGTGTCTGATACCCTGACCGTCCCCCCACCTCGACGCTCCTCTCACCAGGGCAGTAACGACAGTATGGCTCGTTACTGTGCATATTGCTAATGAGACTTACGTTATGAAACCAGGTGACGTTATAGACCTTAGGATTGGCCTTGAGGTGACAGGTGAAGGTGACAGAGCCGCCCTCACGAACACCGGCCTCGCCCCCTCCTCCTCCTCCCCCGCTGACGCTGAGGGTGGCCACCGGCACGACTGTGGACACACACACACATACAGTAAACAACATGGAACCAAATATTTCACCTGCAAACTATTGAGTTTAAAACTTACTTTGTGATTCAGAAACCATGTATCAGAGATACTTTGGCTATTAGGCCCATTGCAGTTTATCATCTTCGATGTTATAAAGATGGCGGGGCAGTATGCTGGTCGTCCCATGTTGGTGCTGAAGACGGTAGACAGTAACAAGGTGATAGCTGGCTGTTGGTACTTGACTGAATTAGTGTGATGTGCAGCGCCTCGCCGACGGCCACTCTTCTACTGTTGCATCTGGTGATTATTTCAGTGTTGCAATCGACAGATACAGTGACAGATAATTGGACACGAGCAAGGCACTGCACATGAGACAATCCCAGCCAGTCATCAACAGTCTCCTGCCACAATGTCACTCCGCCAATCTGGACACCAAGGTGCAACTTGCAACATACTCTCTCAGCAAACTTTAAACACAGGAGACGGGTAACCTGTGGTGATCCTATTGGCCGCATGGGACACTTCGTCTCTCTTTAGGTTATGTATTGTGAACCTTCAGCCAAACTGTAGTCACTTGTTTTCTGCCTCTGAGATGGTAAACAAAACGAATTCTCTCAGCATCATGCTGTACTAAAACAGAAAAATTGCTTTTGGAAGGATGATATTTCATCTTCATTTTTAGATGCAAACCATAATATATATATATATATAAAAGATCCAGCTCTAGAGTCATTGAACTCAACCATGCAGTCATACCCAATATAATGTCTTCAGAAAAGACACACACACACACACACACACACACACACACACACACACACACACACACACACACACACACACACACACACACACACACACACACACACACACACACACACACACACACACACACACACACACACACACACACACACACACACACACACACACACACACACACACACACACACACACACAGCCCACACACAGTTGAAGCCCCCATAGGAATGAGTGACCACAGTGTACTGACCTTTGAGTACTTGGTGGAGGTAGGGATAACCTATCCAAGGATGGGAGTGGAGGGGAAAAGACTGAATTACCGAAGAGGAAAATATGACGAGATGAGGAACTTCCTCAGGGGAATACCATGGGAAACAGAACTTAGAGACAAGAATGTGCAGGTCATGATGGATATTGTCACCCAAAAGTGCCAGGAAGCTGCAGACAGGTTTATCCCCGTCCAAAAGGAGAAAAACGAAAAACAACAGAAAAACCCATAGTTCAACCAGGAATGTAAGGTAGCGAAACAACTGAGTAAAAGAACATGGAGAAACTACAGAAATAACAGAACACCAGAGAGCAGGGAGAGATACCAGAGGGCCAGAAATGAGTACATCAGAGTGAGGAGGGAAGCAGAGAGACAGTTTGAAAATGACATCGCGAGTAAAGCCAAGACCCAACCAAAGCTGCTCCACAGCCACATCAGGAGGAAAACAGCAGTGAAGGAACAAGTGATGAAGCTGCGGAAAGGGGAGAACAGATACACAGAGAATGACAAGGAGGTGTGTGAAGAACTCAACAAGAGATTCCAGGAGGTCTTCACAATAGAACAAGGAGAAGCCCCTGCACTAAATGAGGAGGCGGCAAACCAAGCAACCTTGGAGGAATTTGACCTCACCAGTGATGAGGTCAAAAGGTGTCTGCTGGAGCTGGATGTGACAAAGGCTGTTGGGCCTGACAGAATCTCACCATGGATACTAAAGGAAGGTGCAGAAGCACTAAGTGTGCCACTCTCTATGGTGTATAACAGGTCACTGGAAACAGGAGACTTACCAGAAAGTTGGAAGACAGCTAACGTGGTCCCAATATACAAAAAGGGTGACAGGCAAGAGGCACTGAATTACAGGCCAGTTTCCTTAACTTGTATACCATGCAAGGTGCTGGAGAAGATCGTGAGGAAAAGGCTCGTAGAGCATCTGGAGGGAAATAACTTTGTAACGCACCACCAACATGGGTTCAGAGATGGTAAATCGTGCCTCACAGGTTTAATAGAATTTTATGACCAGGCAACGAAAATTAGGCAGGAAAGAGAAGGGTGGGCCGACTGCATTTTCCTGGATTGCCAAAAAGCCTTTGACACAGTACCCCATAAAAGGCTGTTAAAAAAGTTGGAGCAACAGGCAGGAGTAAAAGGGAAGGTGCTCCAGTGGATAAGGGAGTACTTAAGCAACAGGAAACAGCGAGTAACGGTGAGGGGGGAGACATCAGAGTTGAGAGATGTCACCAGCGGAGTCCCACAGGGCTCTGAACTTGGACCCATCCTGTTTCTAATATATGTGAACGATCTTCCAGAGGGTATAGACTCATTCCTCTCGATGTTTGCTGATGATGCAAAAATTATGAGAAGAATCAAGACGGACGAAGATAGACAGAGACTACAGGATGACCTGGATAAACTGGAGGAATGGTCTAGAAAATGGCTGCTGAAGTTCAACTCGGGAAAGTGTAAGGTGATGAAATTAGGCGAAGGGAGCAGGAGGCTGAACACAAGGTATCATCTGGGAGGGGAAATCCTGCAAGAATCAAATAGAGAGAAGGATCTGGGGGTTGATATCACACCGAACCTGTCTCCAGAGGCCCACATCAAAAGGATATCATCAGCGGCATATGCTAGACTGGCCAACATAAGAACTGCCTTCAGAAACTTGTGTAAGGAATCTTTCAGAACCCTGTATACCACTTATGTAAGACCAATCCTGGAGTATGCAGCTCCAGCCTGGAGTCCATACCTAGTTAAACACATGACAAAGTTAGAGAAGATTCAGCGGTATGCCACCAGGCTCGTCCCGGAACTGAGAGGATTGAGCTACGAGGAAAGGCTAAGGGAGCTGAACCTCACATCCCTGGAAATCAGAAGAGTAAGGGGAGACATGATAACCACCTACAAAATTCTCAGGGGAATTGACAGGGTGGACAAAGACAAACTCTTCAGCACGGGTGGGACACGAACAAGGGAACACAGGTGGAAACTTAGTACCCAGATGAGCCACAGAGACGTTAGAAAGAATTTTGTCAGTGTCAGAGTAGTTAATAAATGGAATGCATTAGGCAGTGATGTGGTGGAGGCTGACTCCATACACAGTTTCAAATGTAGATATGATAGAGCCCAGTAGGCTCAGGAATCTGTACACCAGTTGATTGACAGTTGAGAGGCGGGACCAAAGAGCCAAAGCTCAACCCCCGCAAGCACAATTAGGTGAGTACAATTAGGTGAGTACACACACACACACACACACACACACACACACACACTTCAACAGACACACACAAATACACATACAAAAAACATTAATAATATTCTTTATCATCGTGACGATGGTGGAAGGTAGATACAACATATATACAAAAAACATTAATAATATTCTTTATCATCGTGACGATGGTGGAAGGTAGATACAACATAAATGTTAGATATTTACTTAACACATATGTTGAATCTAACTTCCACTATCGTCTCAATGGTTTCAACGTCTTCTGCACCCCGTGTAGTGCCCACACCCTCCCCTGCACCCCGTGTAGTGCCCACACCCTCCACTGCAACCCGTGTAGTGCCCACACCCTCCCCTGCACCCCGTGTAGTGTCCACACCCGCCCCAGCACCCCGTGTAGTGCTCACACCCTCCCCTGCACCCTGTGTAGTGCTCACACCCGCCCCTGCACCCTGTGTAGTGCCCACACCCTGCCCTGCACCCTGTGTAGTGCCCATACCCTCCCCTGCACCCTGTGTAGTGCCCACACCCTGCCCTGCACCCTGTGTAGTGCCCATACCCTCCCCTGCACCCCGTGTAGTGCCCACACCCTGCCCTGCACCCTGTGTAGTGCCCATACCCTCTCCTGCACCCTGTGTAGTGCCCACACCCTGCCCTGCACCCCGTGTAGTGCCCACACCCTGCCCTGCACCCTGTGTAGTGCCCACACCCTCTCCTGCACCCCGTGTAGTGCCCACACCCTGCCCTGCACCCTGTGTAGTGCCCACACCCTCTCCTGCACCCTGTGTAGTGCCCACACCCTGCCCTGCACCCTGTGTAGTGCCCACACTCTCCCCTACACTCCGTGTAGTGCCCAGACCCTCCCCTGCACCCCGTGTAGTGTCCACACCCTCCCCTGCACCCTTTGTAGTGCCCACACCCTCTCCTGCACCCCGTGTAGTGCCCACACCCTCCCCTGCACCCTTTGTAGTGCCCACACCCGCCCCTGCACACCGTGTAGTGCCCACACCTGCCCCTGCACCCCGTGTAGTGCCCACACCGGCTCCTGCACCCCGTGTAGTGCCCACACCTGCCCCTGTACCCCGTGTAGAGCCCACACCGGCTCCTGCACCCCGTGTAGTGCCCACACCTACCCCTGCACCCCGTGTAGTGCCCACACCCTCCCCTGCACCCTTCGTAGTGCCCACACCTGCCCCTGCACCCTTTGTAGTGCCTACACCTGGCTCCTGCACCCCGTGCAGTGCCCACACCCTCCCCTGCACCCCGTGTAGTGCCCACACCTGGCTCCTGCACCCTTTGTAGTGCTCACACCTGCCCCTGCACCCCGTGTAGTGCCCACACCTACCCCTGCACCCTTTGTAGTGCCTACACCTGGCTCCTGCACCCCGTGTAGTGCCCACACCCTCCCCTGCACACCGTGTAGTGCACACACCTGGCTTCTGCCTCCCGTGTAGTGCCCACACCCACCCCTGCACCCCGTGTAGTGCCCACACCCGCCCCTGCACCCCGTGTAGTGCCCACACCCGCCCCTGCACCCCGTGTAGTGCCCACACCGGCTCCTGCACCCTTTGTAGTGCCCACACCTGCCCCTGCACCCCGTGTAGAACCCTCACCTGCCCCTGCACCCCGTGTAGTGGCCACACCTGCCCCTGCACCCCGTGTAGTGCCCACACCTGCCCCTGCACTCCGTGTAGTGCCCACACCTGCCCCTGCACCCCGTGTAGTGGTCACACCTGCCCCTGCACCCCGTGTAGTGCCCACACCCGCCCCTGCACCCCGTGTAGTGCCCACACCGGCTCCTGCACCC